TTCACCATCAATTTCTTTCAGTGAATAATGAATAAAAAAAAAGCTAAATAAATAAACCCCAACTTTTTTTTTTTTTTAAATCTAATTTAAAAGTATTTATACATCTTGGTTAATATTTGTTGTACTGCATTATTTTTTTAAATAAATTCATTTATATTTTAGCATTATTATGTAATATTTAATTACTGTGAGTGAAACTATTTAATCTTTATGCTAATTAGCTTAATTTGATATTTTGAAATATAATTTCTTTTTCTTTTAAGGGATTAAATGTGAGCCGAGCATGTTTTCTTGAGATTCATTAGCCACAGATATGCATTAAAAATTAAAAAATGAGGTATGAAAGTTGCTGACGTGTGCCAGGAAACTGAATTTAATTGAACATAGAGATGTTTGTTTTTCAAATATATTGTAAAACACTCGAGCAGAACTGATGAAATCTCTTAAATTAATCTCTTTCTACACCCATCATGATATTGCACTGGCAGAACGTCACAGATCCATGATGAACTTTAACACTCTTTCATCGCTCCCGAGTGAAAACTGAGGGAAACAGCAGGTCATTCGACCCTGAAACCAAAGACTCATCACTAATTCAGATGAAAACAGACAAGCACAAACACACGGACACTGAAAATCCATGACGTTCTGCACGTGCTTTCAGTTTCTGCAGGTTTGAGACTTTTAACACCAAATAAAGAAAAATTAAAAAACAAAATGAAAGGGAAATAAGTTGGACTGTACTGCAAAACAGTGCTGCTTTTTTTTTTCCTCAGTGTTTCGGTCTTTTTTTCCAGTCCGAATGTCTAAAGATTCATAAATCAACATTTACTGGAGAATCAAATGACATGAAGTCTTGTTTTCTGAGAAACTGATCAAAATGAAGTGAGTTTATGATTAAAACAAGAACAAATATCTGTCAGTGCGGGTTCAAAAAATCTATTTAACTCTATAAATCTAGTTTTTTGCAGTGCATGCAACATTTAATGCCATGAACTTCAGACCTTTTAAAACCTGCAGAAAGCACGTTCCTCCACACACACACACACACACACACACATATATATATATATATATATAATTATTTCTTCAGCATAACAAATAAGTCAAAATAATGAAACAAAGCATTAATTTAGTACAAGAAAAAGAGGCTTGGTGTGATTTGTGCGGTTTGCGGTTACGGTTTGAGGAGAGTCGGTACCAGAACCAATGATAGAAACGGGTTAAGACGGCTGGATTAGACCAGAAACACTCAAAATGATGTTCTGTTGGTCTCGTTCCCGGCTTCACATCACCAGGAGAACGCGTTTAATGGAGCACCTCAAGAAAAGACCAAGAACAGTGTGAATATGCACTCAAAAAAATGCTGGGTTAAATACAACCCAGTGCTGGGTAAAATAGGGACAAACCCAGCAATTGGGTTGTTTTGACCCAGCGTTTGGGTTATTACCCAGAAGGTTGGGTTAAACATTTAACCACTGGGTCAAAACAGCCCACTTGCTGGGTTTGTCCCTATTTTACCCAGCACTGGGTTGTATTTAACCCAGCATTTTTTAGAGTGTGGAAGGCCAGAGAATCAAACGCGCTTCTTCACGGAACACAGTCAGATCTTTCTGCTTGGATTGGTGCGTTTATTTCAAAGCTCTGCTCGAAGCGATTTTCTCCGTACATTCGTTATACGTGATGGCACAGAGGTGAACAAACAAGCTGCCATTTTTGGACAAACAAACCAGATCTTCGGACACAAAAACCCTTTTCCGGGATTCAGGAAAAAGACCCCACAGCTTCTGAAAGTAATACTTTATGGACATTCAACAGGAGTGTACGAAAGAAAAAGTCAGGTTACATGTCAACGAAATCAAAGACAGAGAATAAAACCGAACTTTACAGACAGAAGCCAGAGTTATTGGTTAATTGCTTCTACACTCTAAAAAAAATGCTGGGTTATGCTTGTTGGCGAAGATCAAGATGATTGCGTCGCGCATCTCGCGGTCGTTAATAATGCGATGCAGCTCCTGTCTAGCCTCGTCGATCCGGTCGCGATCCGCACAGTCCACGACGAAGATCAAGCCTTGGGTGCCGGTGTAATAGTGCCGCCACAGCGGACGGATCTTATCCTGACCGCCCACGTCCCACACGTTAAATTTGACGTTCTTGTACGTAACGGTCTCCACGTTGAAGCCCACAGTCGGGATGGTGGTGACCGACTGTCCCAGTTTGAGTTTGTAAAGGATCGTCGTCTTTCCCGCCGCGTCAAGTCCAAGCATCAATATTCTCATCTCCTTGCTGCCAAAGATCTTCGAAAGCATCTTCCCCATCTTTTTGGCTGTGCATATATTTAAATTTGTTGCAGGGATGTGGGTTTTTGGTCAGTCAGAAAAACACATGTATTCGTTGGCTTTCAAAACTCACACAGTACTGCAAACAACATTAAAAATTCAGAAACAAAACCCGTCACGTGTGTTTAGATCTGTGAAAGGCCTTTCCTCAGACTTCCTTCCGGTGTACCCGCTGTCGGGTCGCGTTTGTTTTGCGCACATTCCCTTCAGACGCGTTTCAGATCGTATGTTCTGCTCGCGGCTGTGAGAAAAAACTCCAAACGTCAGTCACTCATCCCGAGTTCCCCCTCTTCAGTCCCTGAAACACGAGAGAAAGCGGATGAGAAAAGGGAGGGGTGTCAAACACAACTTTATTCTTGTAGTTTCGCTTCGCGTTCTGCTCGTACTAAGCGCCGCGCTGTTTTACCTCATATAACAGCCGCCCTCTCGCGCACCCCGGGTCGGTTCTGTCCCCTCTTATCCTCTCCGGTCGCTCTCTCGGTCCCGGTCGTGCCGCTGTCGGTGTTACCGGAAAAGGTGCGGAGCTGCTTCAGCCGCCACTTCCTCTCTTTTTCGCTCAGGCGCACTGCGCCATTTGGCATTCGGGCGCTCGGATCTACTACGGCGAAGGTTCTACTCATTAATATTCATGACGCGTGTGTTTGCCATTGGACAGACGGCGGCTGCGTCAGCAATGCGTAGTTAATATTCAACAGACTTGCATTTGATACATTGGGATCGCCAAGCAACGCAATAATTACTTCCTTAATATTCACGTATTAAAGAACTCGCCTTAAATACGATATAATAACGATAATTATTTATTTAGTCATTTATCAGACGCTTTTATCCAAAGCGACTTACAAATGAGGACAACAGAAGCAATCAATTGTAGTATTAAAACAACTAAAAACAGATCCAAAACGAAAAGCTAAAACTTTATAAATACTACCTATACACATTTTATAAATAAAGAGATTAAATAAAAATGACAAATGCATACAACATGAAAAATAAAGCTAAAAACAATTCAAAATATTAAAGAACAAAAGGTATGAGTATAATAATGATTCTAACATAACACCAAAAAAACAACTACATATATGTGTATGTACAGCCACACACACACACATATATATATATATACATACACATTTATAAATTCAATATATAATTTCATTTCCATTTAGTTTGTTGAAGTATTAAAATAACTCAAATAAAACAAAAAAATTAATAAAAGACCTATACAGACATAATAAATTCAGACATAATGCAACTAAAATTAAAATAAATAACAAATACAAATAATACAAATCAAACGACA